TTATAGAGCTGCCTATCTCACAACACTGATTTTGGTGATGTACAAAGGTTAAAACCACCACCACAACATGTAACCCGTGACACCCTGGTGAAAAGAGCAACCCCCAGTCAAAAAGCCACATCACCAGCAGAGCAGGCCTAACCTCATGGCCCAAATGCCTGGGAGAATATAAATAAAGATAAGCTGCAGTGTGATGGTCAGCATTCCAGAAGGATGAAGCCCTTGGCAGTGACTCCTTCCCATCATAATACTGAGCCAGACTTCTCCATCCTGGCCCCAGATATTTTGGGATTGCAACTTCCAGACTGGCTGGGGAATGTTGGGAGTTATAGTCCCAACATGATTAGAGGGTGCCAAGTTGAGGAATGTTATCGTAAGCCATAGTTTAGTGTGAAGAGCCTCTGCTTCATGTACTCCTGTTCTTTCCTCTGGCATGGACCAAAGTAGGAGATAAAATTTCTGTTTTGCTCTAGTCATTCAGAGTTTCATCTGAATTCCAAAGGATCTTAACTTTAGTTAGTTGAATCAGTTTGCACAAGCTGCACCCCAATAGAAAGGAAAATGAAAGCTTCTGAAAGGTTAGAGGAAGGGGAGGACACGAAGTGGGGGTTCACTGCAGTTTAGTTTCATAAAAGGAGCCATGCAACATCGTTTTCCTGCCTACCTAATTCTCCCTTCCCCCTTTTTAAAGGAGTTGCCATATGATGGCAACTGAGGGATACTGCAAGCTGATGAAACTGCCTGGAATTTCCACTGTTACTAAGAGTATTGAAGGGGAAAAACCAGCTTCATTCTCCTTCAACCACAGACCACTGGCAGCTGTTTAACTAGCAACCTCTTTTCTCATCCTTATTTTCTTCTTTTACAGCAGGGAAATTTTTCCCTCCTCCATCTGACTTGCTTCCCTATCAGGGGGGTGAGCCGTTGCCAGCTCAGACAAACTGGAAGTAAGATGGCTACTGTTCTTTTAAATCTTCTAATAATCCATTTTTGTTTTTCCTTTGCCACAAACTGTTATACTCTGCTTATCTGGGGGAAGAGAAAGTGAAAGTGCATAGTGAAGTAGATCAGGCAGGAGATAAGAGCTGCTTGTTTATTACAAAACATGGTTTTCTAAAGTGGCAGATCTTACGTCCTACTGCAGGGTAAGCAGCTGGTGCCCTAGGGTGACTTTCTCAGCACCCAGTAGGCTTTTGACTCACATGGCTTTAATTTGCTTATTTTCAGCATCAACATTCTTTCCCCAAGGCTTTGTTAGAATATAAAAATGATGGGTGGTTGCAGTTCAGTGCTTTGTTGGGAAATATGCCCTTCTGGCCAGAAGGAGAAAAAATATGAAAACCCAAAGTCACTGGGAGAGGTGATGAGAATCCTAAGTCAACAGCAGCCTCACCATTTTGTCATCGGATAAATGAGGCTTTGTAACTGAGTGTGCCCACCGGTGTGCTGCCGTTTTGTGGGAGAATCCATAGACACTCTAAAAATTCTGAATGTGCCCAGCAGCCCAAAAGATAGCGTGTCCCTGTCCTAGAGGACTATGGTTTATACTTATTGTCCGGATTGCTTTGCTTTCCACAGTATTCCTGCTATTTCAGAAGATGAAGCCAAAGAAGCTTTTATCCAATATGCTACACGCAAGTGCTGCTACAGCAAAGCTCCAGCCAGGGAGATGGTGTTTCAGGATCTCCTAGCACTCAATGCCTTCAGAGTAAGCAGAATACAGTGTTTGCAAGTGTGTGTATGCAACAGACTTGAGTTATGTATTGCATTTGGACTATGAGCTGCATGAGGGCCTTGATTAGAAACATGGGTCACAAGCTTAAATAATTAATAAGCAATATGTTCTCTTCTAGCTCTCAGAAAGACATTATGGAGCATGCATTAAAGTAATTGATCATGCAATTTATATATTATATGAGAGAGAGAGAGATAATAAGATAATATCTTAGTATATCTATATATAATATATATATTCCAAAATCATTCTTACTGAACTCAGATTTATTTTCAGATGATATAAGATTATCAACTAAAATTATTTGTGTAAATCACATGAACTTTATAGATGCCCAAATTATCTCTCCACATGAGCTTGTAAACTCAGAAGAGGTGTAATTACGGGGAAATTTTGCTGAGATGGATGATATTTAGTAGTAGAAGAGTGCACATGTATAAAGTAACAACTTCAGCCCCAACTTTTTTTCAACAAGAGGATTTCAGCAAATATGTGCCAGGAAAGATCTATTCCTAAAGCTTTGAAGACCTAGTGCCAATTGCTTGATCTCCAATAAGGCAGTTTGATCTGTTCATTAAACTGCGAACCAAAAAGGCCCCATGTTGTTCTTGATTTTGGTACATACAGTTTTCCTGCAAGTACTTGCATTGTGCTCTGTTAATCTGAAGATGTTCAGAAAGATTTATAGCTTACTGGATTCTTTAGGAATATAAGGGAATTCACACTGAATATTTAAAAGTAATAATGTCAGCAGTTCATACAAAACAATATCCAGTTTCAGGATAAAATAGCTTAAGAAATAACATGTAGAAACCATGGCAAGTATATAGTTTTCCCTGTTTCAAGGTGCCACAGTATAGCGTAGTCTCCCTGGAGTGAATCCAACAGAAGAAGAAGAATTAAATTAGGAGCTAAAGCAGAGCAGATTCTTTTTCAAGTTACTACCCACATTACTGAGGACAGCATGGCATATGGGTGTCCAAGGAGGGTTACAATACTTGAGTATATTCACCTGGGAGATAGCAATTGATGGGACGCTTCTTTCTCCACAAATTCATTCAGTGGCCTTAGACAAGGCCACAATTAAACTTTCATCTTCTGATCTGTAACCAAAGTTGTCTGTGAGGGATTGTGGGGGGTGGGGGGAGTAGGCAGGTGACAAAACATACATTGTAATGCAAACACTGTGTCACATTGCACTTTTTTGTCATTTTGGCATCATGGAGAGAAATGGACACCTGTCTGTAAAGCTGGGAGAATAATACTGACTTACTGTAGTGATAACTGTAAAGAAAATTGGAGGCATGGGGAGAAAGTACTGTGTTTTGACTATTCAGCAGTGCATCAGTGTTAAGTGGACTATCACTATTTTGTTCAGATATGGTTTGTGTTTCTTCTCTGGTGTGCGGCTTTTTTCCTTTTTTTCCCCTTGTTGCTTTCCTTACCTTTTTACCTTTTTTTTAGTAAAGTATCAGTGGTGGAATTAAAACCTTTCAACCCAGAAATAAGTGATTGGAAAGGGAATAGAAACTGGCAGCTTGATAATTCACTGTAACTCTACCTGTGGGAACACAAGAAGATGCATGAGATGCCCAGTTGGGCTGAGAAAGTCATCTGTTACTCAGTGTCTTATGTACAGAGTGTTCCTCAGTTGTATATGCTTAAGAGACATGAAGGAAAGAGAAACAAAAACTTCACAAAAGCAGTTAACTCGCTGGCTTTTGTAACCCTTAGTATAATTTTGGATAAATTAAATTTGTGATTTTGTAATACAGGACATAATTTACATTTTGTTGAATCTGATTGGTGGGCTGAATTAAAATCAGTGGATATGGGCCACATTCACCCTAAATAGTAATAGTAAAAACAGCAACAATAAGCCCTAATCCTATAGACAGTCCTTCATTGTTGGCAGCTTGGGGGCCATAATTTATACTTTCTTGTGTTAAAATGGCAAATCTGGAAGCTTGGCATTCAGACAAATCAGTTACCAATAGACGCATTGAGATAAACTCTGTTTACATACTATGTAAAAGATACAATCAAAAATCCAGGAAGGAAACAAACAGCCTAAAACACGTCCCTTCCAGCAATCAAGCTCAGATAAGCAGGAAACAGTACCAGGCAAACAATCAAGGAGGAAACAATCAAGGAGAAAACAATCAAGGAGGAAACAATACTCTAGCTGGCAGGGCAAGCTTCTTTCTGTCTATCAATCAATCAATCAATCAATCAATCAATCAATCAATCTTATATGGCCGTCCATCTCACAAGAAGTGACTATATAAACAAACAGCAAACTCCACCCTCCCTTCCCACTGATGATATTACCTAGCCTTGTAATGAAGTGTCTGCAAGCTCACAGAGCTCCAAGAAGCCAACATCATCAGTATCTCGGTATCCTGGTTTTGTGAACCAAGTGGAATAAAGCTTTAGTTAACTCAGAATCTTAAACTGGCAGTTTTGATCATTATGATAAGCTGTTGCTTTATTATATATAAAGATAATGGTCTTTTCTGCACTCCATGGCTGCCTTCTTAGAGATTTCTGTTAATCCGCTACTTCTTTGAGACTAAACTCTAGTTGTTTTTATTTACTGAAAATTATTTTTTAGTATCACTTGGAGACTTTCACTGAATCAAGGTCTTCATCATGGAAAACAAAACCATACAGAGGTAAGTAGAATTTTGAGTTTGTTGCTCCAGTATACTGTAGACTTGTCTTGAAATTTGTCTCCCTTCTGGTAGTAATTGGGGAAGTCATGAGGATGGCAGTGGATTATATTAAGCTTCTTGTGGGATTCAGATTCCATGCTGGAGACATCTTGCTTCTCTTATCATTACTTTTCATTGTGTCTTGTCATATTTAATTTTGTTCTAAAATTCAGACCTGTGTATACATTCTTTTTTGAGTGGAAGCAGTGTGGAGGGTAGAGACATACTGCATCTGATAAGTATGTATGTGAGGATAACTTCTCTATTCTTGGAGTCTTCTATATACCTGGGCTCTGTGTTTGATTCAGTACAATGAAAAACCATGGATATAAAAGACTCTGCTGCAAACCCTAACCCTCAATTTGTGGAAGGTGGTGAGAATAGCAAATTTGTAGGATGAAACTAGCATGCTTGTCCTCACTCTCAGCCTTGAGATGTTCATTTCTGCCAAGAGGACGGATGATGGATGTGGCTTTACAGCACTAGTTCAGGATTAATGTGAGCTCAGGAAATTAATGATCTATTTACATCACTACAAGAATTTATTAATTTGGACATGGTAATGCATTTTGTGATTTATGCAGCCATAGCATTGCTTAAGAATTCCACTAGTATGATGAACTGTATAATTTGTTCAATTCCTTGGAAGGGAGATTTTTAAATGGCCAGCCTTAAATATTAACCCACTTGTATAGATAGGATGAAATATATGAGCTGCATGACATTCAGACTATCTGCTTTCTGAGAAAAGTAGAGCTTTTTTTTTTTTTTTTTTGCTATTATGTTATTACCATTTCATACTCTGTCTTTCAGCCCTAAGGAACTATTTTAAGAAAACAAACACAGCTGAAAAAAAAAAGGTGAGAACTTCAACTCTCAGAATTCTCTAGCCAACACGGGCATTGCTGAGAATTTGGGGAGTTGAAGTCCACAAATGGAGAGCATCCAGCTTAGGGAAAGCTGTATTAAAGATATATGGAGTCCTTGGTGTTCTCTGAGCTTGGTTGTTTGCTTGCAGATATTTCATTACCCTAGTTAGTAATGAAATGTCTGA